AGGTATTAATTATGCATTTATTAAAATTTTATGATAACGTTTTATTTAAAGTTTTTGTTAATTTTATTCCCATGATAAAAGTGTGCCAATAAAAATATGGTGCACTCCCTGATTGAAATTACATAATTAAAAAAAAATAATAATTGATAAAAATATTATTCAGGAAAGTAATTAAATACATACCAATAAAAACACTTTTCCTTTATAAACCTGCAAACTATGATAATATGCTAGATCCATAGTAGCAGATGTCCTCAAAGAATCTATCTGGCTAGTTGAATCCTCAGAAAGATCTTTTAAAAGTGAAGAAAACCTATCGTGATATACCAATGAACGTTGCCTGATATTACTATGCTCACTTTCCTGCATGCATCTAGGGTCAAAAACGACGATGTCTTCCGTACTTGTCAATATCAATAAAATCTAGATAACAATATAATACCATTAAGTTACATCAATGGAAATAGATCATTACATTTTTCGATAAATTTAGTATCATTTAAGATGTACTTGAGAAGAAAGCCATTGTATTCCGACTATACTACTCATTCCTTTCCATTCGCCCATCTTAATGAATTCCAAACGGATATCGCGTTCAGATCGTCGTTTTTTGGAAGGAACATCAGTAATGGCAGATGGTACAACAGTAATTTTCAAAATGTTCAAATAATTCCCCCATGAAAAAGCAAGAAGTGGATCTATGTACAATAAATAGATACGTGATTAATAAAATAGCGTTTAAATAATAAAAAGCAAACGAAGATCTCAAAAAAAACAAAAGATTTTTTTTTTGCAACCCAAAGTCATGTCACCTGAATTAGGTTGAAATTTAGAAGCTGGGAACCAAGCCAAACAGCCGGATGTTGATTTTGACGGTATAGCAGAATCTGATGAAACATTCTTAGGTTTTATACATTTATATTGAGTTTGGGCTGTTGGCTTTGTACTCACTATTATCATCTATATCATGGGAATAAAATTAACAAAAACTTTAAATAAAACGTTATCATAAAATTTTAATAAATGCATAATTAATACCT